CAGGCTTGAGCCACCGCGCCCGGCCCGACATTTTTTTTTTAATGCAAAGGTATAAAATAAAGTCTATTTCCCTTCCCTCTGCTTAGTCCTTTTTCTCCACAGTGACCACCATTAATAGTACCAAGTGGTTCCTTCCACAGTGGATCCAGCAAGCAACATAATGTTACTCTTTTACAAAATGTACATGAAGGGAATGACATACATGCATACATATTAGTCTACATCTTATTGTTTTTGGTGAAATCTTAGAGCTCTTTCCATATCAAAGCATACAGATCTACCTGCTCTTCTTAATAGCTGCATAGTAGTTCATAGTTGATTTTGGTTTTGAAACGAATTTCCTTTGGGGTTTTTTTGTTTGTTTTTTGCTATAGCAAAGAAAAATGCTTAGTGGTCATTTTCATTATATATATCCTGCTACACTTCTGTAGGTCCTATATATTAGTAGGCTTAATTCCTAACCTTTATTTGTGGACCAAAAGGTAAATGCCTGTTATATTTTGATATTACCAAATGATTCCTCAGGACTACACTTGCCATCTGTTTTAAACTGTGTGCAAGGCTGATGGGTTAAAAATGCTATCTTATATTTTTCTTTTTGTATTTCACATGACTTTAGTCAGAAGTAAAGTTTAGCATCTTTGCTTCTTTTTTTGTCACATTTCTTTTTTTTTGTTGTTTAAACTGTTTGTATCCTTTGCCATTCTTCCATGGGGTTTTGTGGTGTGTCACCTAATTTGATTTATAAATTAAGGAATTTGGAAAGTAGTTGTCAAATATGCATATATTTTTCCTCAATATGTCATTTATCTTTAGGCTTTAGGGGAAAAGAGGTGTTTTTTTTTTTTTGTCATATACTTTTATGTTGTTGAATGTATTTGTCTTTGCCTTTGTGGCATCTGAGATTTATGAGATGCTTGGAAAGGCCTTTATGTCAGTATTATAAATAACTTCACCCATGTTTTCTTTCATTTATTTTTTTGGTGATAAATCTTTTTAAAATACTGGCATAGGAATAGAATGGCATTAAATGGAAAATAATAAAATCCTCCATACATTCCTTGGTACTTTATAAGAAATTGGTAAACATGTGACACCTTTGAAAATTCAGGAGCTGTGTTTTCCATTGATGGGGCATGGTATTTTATGTGACTCTCTAATGTTACATAAAAGGGTAGTTAATTGCCTTT